TGTAGTCTTTTCTTCTAGTCTCCTTCTAGGCTGTGTGTAATGTTACCTTAATCTTCTCATTAAGACACAGATAGTTTCACGTGGTGTTTAACTCTAACAATGCTGGTAGGGGCACAGGTGTCTCAGGGGATCAAGCAGCTGCACCTCCCTTCCCAGAGGAAGGCCTTGATTTTTTCTTCCTCTCTGGGTCACCAGCTCACCCCATCCTGGCTACTAAATTCAGGAGCCGGGGGCATAACCAGCCAACCGCATGGCAGTGAGGGTTTCTAGGCAGGCCCAGGACTAAGGTTCTGAGGTTGTGCCCAAGGTTGGGGAATTAGCCTGGCTCCAGAACCAGAGCCCTTGCTTACCCCAAGGTGAGGGTTGGGGGAGAGCAGGTGAATTACTGGGGTGGTGAGGGGGGTCATACCTCCCCTCCCCCAGCAAAGGTTCTAAATAAGGCCCTGGAATCTGCTGTGTCAAGAGACAGCTGAGAATCCATGCGGCCCAGTGTCCTCTGCACCTGGCCCAGACTGATTTGTGTGGGGTGGGGGTGCTGGGAATCCAAGACCCATCACGCAGCATTTTGCCACCCTCTAGCCTCTCTGAGGAGGAACGGCGTGTGAAAGACAGGAAACGTGAAACCCAGCCTGGGAAATGGAAGTTCAGTTTCTCCTTATTGAGTGGCAGTGGCCAGTTTTTCACCAAGCTGGAAATAAAGAACACTCATGAGAGGTCTGGTGCTATGGGGGGTCTCACAGAACCTTCACGATAGCCCTAGGAAGCAGCTGTCCCTGCCCCCTTTACAGTCAGGCAGAAACTGAGTCTGGGAGAGGTGGGGTGACTTGTCCGTGGTCACACAGGGTTGAGGTGACTCTAAAACAAGTACTGTTTACCGCTAGGCTCTCCTGCCCCAACCCCGGGGCCATCCAGGCCCTGTGTGTGGCTTCCTTCTCTCCAGGCACTGAGCATTTAGTTCTAATTAAATTCCCCCTCTGCCCTCCACCTTCCCTGCACCTCCTTCCTCCATCCCTGCGCCGGCAGGAAACACGGGCCCCTAGCCCTGGCCTTCACATATAAATATTTGTCTAGCAAATTAATAAACACAGAGAGGAGGAGGCCTGCAGATAAAACCAGGCTGGAGCCGAGTCCTTACCGCAGGTATCTCTGTCCTGCACAGCGCTGTGTATGTGGTGGGGGGGGGGGGCGTGGGGGAGGCAGTCGGTGAGGGGGCTGGTAAAAGAGATGGTGGCGTGTGGTGGCTTGACACACAGACTCGAGCCAGGCTGCCCGGGTCTGAATCCCAGCTTCTCAGCTGTGTGACCTCAAGCAAGTCACTGCCCCTCTCTGGGCCTGTCTCCTCTGTAAAATGGGGGCGTGGTATGTAGCCCATGCCTCCTAATGGATGCAACAGTCCTGGTACAGGAGCCGGACAGGGCCCAGCACGTAGCAAAAGCTTTCAGAGTGAAACAAAATATTAGGGAAACCGAGTCAAGATTCCAAGATGAAGTCACTTTGTGACAAGGAAGAGACCACCTGCACCAGGAGGATTCTCAGAGGGGGAAACATCTGAACTGTTCTGGAATTCTCCTGCCTAAAACCCACCAATGACTTTTCTGCTGTCCTCAGAACCAACCCAGAGCAGGTTTGTTTGTTGTTTCCGTGGTTCACAAGGCTCCACGCAGTCTGGAACCCAAACTAACCTCTCAACTTCACCCCCACGGACTTGCTCTGTTCATATCTTCCCCACCACGGCCTCACTGCCCCCTCCCCCTCACCCCTCCCAACAGCAGCTCAGCCCCAAACCCCAGAGCGGTTTGTGACTCTTCTCTCTCTCATACCCTACAGTCTGTACTCGCGGCTGTCCCTCTAAAGGTGCATCTTTACACCAACCACCTCTCCTGGGGGCCACTGCTGCTCGTCCCCAAGGCCTGGCAAGTGTCTCTACAGCAGGAGCCTCCTCCCTTCTGCTCACACCCTTAGCGCACAGGCAGCCAGAGCGATCCTTTCAAAACACATCTCTGATTGTACCACCTCTCTGCGCTCAACAACCCAGTAGCTTCCCATCGTCTTTGCAGGAAAGCCCCAAGACCTTATAGCTCACCAAGCTCCTGACCTCAGGGTCCAGCTCCCCTCAGCCTCCTCTCCTCCTGCCTGATCACTCACTTGCTTTAACCAAACAGGCCTCCTTGCTTGTCCCCCTCAGAGCTTGTGCACCTGCCATTTCCTCCCCGGAAATGTCTTCCTCCAGATGCTCCCATGGTGGGTGCTTTCCCTTCCAAGTCTCTGCCCAAATATCACCTCCTTAGAGCTTCCCAGGACCCCCATGTGCAGTGTCCCTCAACTTTCACACAGACACCCCAATACCCTCTTCACCCCTCTCCTGCCTTAGTTTTTCTTCCAAGTTCTTACTTCCACGTGAAATTATTTTATTTATAAAATGTATAAATTTAAAAATTTACAATATTGTCTGTCTCTCTAAAGCATAATGTCTAGAAGAGCATGAATATTGCCTGAAGGAACGAGGGAAGGGGAAAGGAACCAGGGGCCAGATCTGGCTGGCTGGAGACAGGAAGGAGGGAGAGGTGAACTCCAGGCGCCAGGATCTATGGGGGGATGGCCGATCTAGCTCAGGGAGCCGGCACCAGGCCGTGTGGAATGAGGCTGGGGTTGACTTTTGGAACAAAAATATATGGAGCTTTAAATACCAGCAAGGGGAGTTGTGGAATGCAGAAGCAGAATCCAATATTGGCCCCAAAGCCTCTTCCTTCTCGCTGGAAGGCACGTATAGCTTCTGGAAAGGACAGTGAGGGTCAAATCCTATAGATCATATTCTAGCCTTGGCCTGAGAAGCTCTCCTGACCATCCTCTGAGCCGGGAGGGTGTGGACTCAGGATCTGGGGCCAAGGAGGAACTCGCAGCGTCACACCCTCTGGAATGCTGTGGCTGCGTTTAACTTGCTCCAGATTTGCACAGTTCCCGTCAGAACATGAAACCAGAGGAAAAAACCCATGAGGCCCAGATTGATCAGCGCAGAACTTAGCAACAGCACAACAAGCTGTAGCTAGCCCACTTCTGCAGCAAGGGGCTTTCCACGGGGCCCAGGGCTTGGGAACTCCGGGCTGGCTCTGCTGTCTCTGGCTGGCTTGCAGGGCCCCAAGGCCCATCCCAGTGGCTGTCGGGGTGGTGGAGTGGGGCCTTGTGCTGGACCCACAAGGGCTCCCAGAAATGGCTTACAGTCCCTGTGGGGAGCCTGAGAAAGCAATGCTGGTGGCTGTCCCCAGACTTGGCCGCCTTGGGTACCCTGGTTCTCTCTGCCGGTTCGTGGGGTTACCAGGTCCACGCCTTTGCCAGGAGCTGACAAGAGCAGGGGACTTCAGAGTTTCAGAAACATCCCAGATCGTCCCAGCATTTCCCGGTGAGTCACAACCTCCCATCTTCACCATCACATCTGGACTGCGAGGAACTTGGCCGGTTCCTAACCCAATTCTTCAGTCCCTCCTCCCTCCACCAGGCCAGCTGCACACTCACTGGGCCAGCATGATTGTATCATAAAATATCTCAAGCATATGGAAAAGTTCATAAAATTATATTGCAGACAAGTATCCCTCCCATTTAGCTCAATGACTTGCCTTCTTTCCTTCCATCTTTCTTCTTCTAAAAAGAGAAGGCGTCAAGTGTACAAAACCTGTGTGAACACGGCCATGGTAGGTAGCGGTGGTGGGGTATCCCCTGGCCCGGCTGGGGAGACAGTGGACCCACAGAGCTGGAGAGAGGGCTCTGAAAAGGGGAACGTTGCCATATCAAAGCCTGTTGCATCTGTCATGCTAACGAGAGGATGTGTGGTAGATAGCAGACGATGGATCTGGCACATAGTAGGTGCTGAGGAAGTAGTGGTTTCCGATATTATTGCATCCCACTCACCCGCAGCCTGGGAGGCAGGCAGTCTGCGAATGGGGAAAGAGATGCCAAGAGCAGGGCTCAGGGTCACTCGGCCAGGAAGGGGACCAGGACTATAAGCCTTCTTGGGAGCAGAGAGAGGACAGCAACTGGTCCCCCCTCCCAGTGCCCTCCCTTCCTGAGGGTGCAGGGAAGAGGGCTATGTCCAGACTTGGGTCCCCCAAAGGGGTGCTAAAGGTGAGAACCCATGGGAGAACAGTGACTGGAGGAAAGTTGCCTTGATTTCCCTGACACAGCCATTTGGGGAATTCGAGGCAGGGGCAGGGGCGGCTCCAGGGATGGGGGTCTCTGGGCTCACCCTGATGACCCCTTTCCCTCTTGCAGCAGCTGCAGCCTGTTCTGGTTGAATCTGCTCATGGCCTTGCTGCAGTGGGGGTGGGGGTGGGGAGCTTAGCTGGGGGTCCCCAGGTGATGTGAGTGACAGGATCCAGAACCTGGGAATGCAGCAACCCTCACACCTATTTGCCTAACTCACAGGCTCTGACGTCAGTGGCTTGCAACTTATTAAGGATTAGGACCCAGTCCTGTCCTCCAAGGGCCCCGCCTTAGGCCCCCATCTCAGAGGTGAGGCAGTGGTTGGGGGGGTGTCCCTCGGGAGCCCCAAGTCCCCAGGATGGAGTCTCTGCCCCAGCAGTGACTAGCTGTGTGGCCCTGTGCGGGTAGTTCTCCCCCCCCCATTTCCCCCGCCCATCTCAGTGCTTCATCATCTGTGAGCTGCGAGGATTAAGTGATCAATGTGGCATATTCCCAGTACCACATACATGACAGTCTTTGTTCCAGTAAATACTCGGGTGCTCCTGCCCCCCTCCACACCACTATGTTGTTCTAAAGCAGCATTTTTTCAAAGTGGAGTTCCCCACACGGCCAGCAACAGTGTCACCTGGGGACCTGTTAGAAATGAAAATTCCCCGGCCCCGCCCCAGACCTCCTGAATCAGGAACTCTGAGATGGGGCCCAGCGGTCCGTGTTTAACAAGCCCTCTGGGGCATTCTGATGCCTGCCTGTGTCTGGGAACCACTTTTTTAGGGCATCAACCTGACTGTATCATGTTCTTGCTCTAGACCCTTCCATGGCCTTCTGGATAAAGTCCGAGGATCTAACCAGTGGTTGAAGCCCTCCCCTGATGGCTCTGACTGACGTGACGTGGCCCGTTTCCCCAGTCAGATGGCAGGCTGCTGGAGGGCAGTGATGGTGACTCATGCCTTGGTCCTGTGTGGCCCGCCCCCAGCTGGGCTGGCAGACTTCACAGAAGGCGGGAGAGAATGATGGCCGTGCTGACTGCACGCGTGGCCATCTAAGGTTTGGATTCTGGCCTTCACTCTGTTGCTGTGTGAACCGGGCACGCTGCTTCACTGTTTGGAGTCTCAACGTCCTCATCCACCAAATGGGCATAATAATAGTGTCTGCTTAGGTTACTGTGAGGATTAAGTACAATGACCTGTGGTAAGTGCTCAGCCTGGTGCCTGGCATGGGGCCTTAGAGAATCAAGGCTCCACGATCCTTTATCCCAAACTTGGGGCCAGAGGTTTCAGAATTCCGAGTTTTTCAGATTTTAGAAATATACCATACACAATACAACCCAGCCAAGTGGCAGGGTTTCTATTAAAAAACAACAACAGGGTGCCTGGGTGGCTCAGTTGGTTGAGCGACTGCCTTCGGCTCAGGTCATGATCCTGGAGTCCCGGGATCGAGTCCCGCATCAGGCTCCCTGCTCGGCAGGGAGTCTGCTTCTCCCTCTGACCCTCCTCCCTCTCATGCTCTCTGTCTCTCATTCTCTCTCTCGCAAATAAATAAAAATCTTGAAAAACAACAACAACAACACTGATGTGATTATACCAAAATGTATAAATATGCAAAGGAACTGCAGGTGATAAAGACTATCAATAAATAGCTTCTTATCAGTTTAGGTCATGCTGAGGCTCTTGGACCTCTCCCGAAGGAAGCCATTGAAAGGTTTAGAGCACAGGAGAAACATGGGCAGGTTGATGCCCTAAAACAGCAGCGCCCAAGCATGGGTGTTCATCAGAATCTCTCGCAGGGCTTGGGATTCCCAGCCTGTTGAGCATACACAGTCATTCAGGCCTTCTGGCAGCAGGGGGAAGGTGTGGTCCCTCTCCCATTTTACAAACAGTGTACGGAACACTGAGGCTCAGGGAGATGAAATTACTTGCCTGGGGCCCCACAGCTACGTGGGGGAGGGGGGGAAGGAGCCTCCGTTGGCCCATCTGCGAACTGATGCTAGCAGTTGTTCTTTGGCAGGGTTGGGGTGAGCTGCTGGCATGAAGTGTGCTGGGCACTGCAGGTACCCAGGAGGGGCAGCATCAGGGCTGGCTCTGCTCTCGTCTGGGGTGTCAGGCTGAGCCCCAGGATTTCCCAGGCCCCACCCCAACATGCCTGGGCCTGGGCGCTGGAACGAAGAGGAGCCCATCCAGCCTGTGTTGCCCAAATATTGTGGAGGCCTGTTGGTGCCTCTCCATGGTGACAGCACCCCGAGTTGGATGTGCTCAGGCACCCATGGGTGCTGTTCCATCCCTGGGACACTGCAGGAAACAGGCTGGTGTGGCCAATGCCATCTGAATGACACTACAGGGGCAGCTAGGCCTCAGCACTCTCGCCTTTCCAGAATCCCGCAAATGGGTGCTCATTAAGCCCAAGGCCATGCGCTCCAACGCTTCCCTTTCCAGCCCACCTTCCTCAGAAGCAGTCGCATTTCCAGTCCACATGCTGACTGTCTCTCTCTTTCTCTCGAAAACTCTTTCAAGGTTTGACATTTGCTGAGCACCACAGTGGGGTGGGGAGCTCAAAGTTCCAAAGCCAGAGGCCTGGGTTCAAATCCCAACTCGGTCAGTGACCAGCGGTGTGATCTCGGGCATGTGACTTGACTTGGTGCCTTCATTTCCTAATCTGTAAAGGAGGTGACCTAGAGGCCCATCCTTCTAGGGGCTCAGATCAAAACCTCGGAGACATCTTGGACTCTGCTCTCTCATGGCCGTATCTGATCTGTCAGGAAGTCCGGTCGGCTCTACCTTCGGATATATCCAGATATCCAGAATCCAAGGGTCTCTTTTCCTCTCCAGTTGGACCCCACTGCTCAGAGCCATGGCATCTCTCAAGCCCCTGTTCTTTCTGCTTCTACATTGGCTCACCGATAGCTCATTCTCAGTGCCCTGCAAACAAGGGGAAAACCAGAGTCCTTCCAGTGGCCCATGGGTCCACACCACATGGCCTCACCTCCCCTGCCTGCTTCGCCTCCCGACTCTCCCCTCGCTCGCTCTGGGCTCCCTCAGACATGCTGGGGACACTTCTGCCCTGATGAGTTGCCCTGGCCGGTCTCTTTGTCTGGAATGCTCTTCTCCAGATACAGGCCTGGCTTGCTTTCTCACCTGGGTCTTTGCTTAAATGTCATCTTATCTGACTCCAATATTTAAAGGGCAGCCCACCCCTCTCCCCATCCTCTGTATACCCATCCTTGCTTTATTTTTCCTCATGGCCTTAATCACTATTTAATACATTCTCTATTTTAATTTAGTTGTAGGTAACTCCTACAAAACGTAAGCTGCAGAGGGCAGGGAATTTTGTGTCTTTTGTTCTCAGCTCTATCCCCCGAACCTCGAATGGCATGTGGCCCACAGTAAATATGTAACTAATATTGTCCAGTGAATGGCCATATGAACGAGTAGTGCAAACCACGGGTTTGTCGTGAGGATTAAATATGTTTAATGCAAAGTACTTGGAACATGCCGAGCTCGTGTGGGAAACGCTCAGGGTGGGTTTGCTGTTGTTGGGGTGCAGATCTCTGCTCCAGAGAGCTCGGAGTGCAGCAGAGGGAGAGGCCAATGCTGCACCTGCCAGGAGGATGTCCTGGAAGAAAGCTCAACAACACGTGCTGACTCCAGGGCCGTGACAGGACCCAGCGCGCCCTAGAAATGCCGAGCAGCTGGGTGAGCAGGCGTGGGGTGGCGGAGGGGCCCCCAGTGAGGTCAGACTGTCTGCAGCTCCATGTCAGGAAGGGCCTGGGAGGCCAGGCCAAGGTGTTGGAGCTCTCTCTGTGGGCACTGGGGAGCCTCAGGAAGGCTTGGGGTGGGGCTGGGTGGGGAAAGGGTGTGAAGACTCTGAAAACCAAGACCTGTGCCCATCGAGGTCTTAGAGGGGCAGGTTATGACCTTGCATTAGAAGCTTTGTTGCCACAGTTGGGGGGGGGGGGGCGAGGACCTGAGCTCTCCCTAAACGGACAGTCTCCGTGTGGCTCCATGGTGAGGGACCTTTCTGGCGACTCCGTCCTATGCTAGCACAGCATTAGGGAGGAAGAAAGTAGCCCATGTCTGGCAGTTTTCCAGCAGAATTTCCTGGATGCTAGGGAGAAAGGGAGAGCGGCTGGATTGTGTGGCTCCCTGAGCAGCAGGAGGGGCACAGACAGGTTCTCCGTGAGGGGCAGTGAGGGTGGGCCCTGGGGGTTGGAGGCCTCCGGGGAGGGCCTCTTCAGCAGTTCCTCCACCGTGAGCTCAGTGAGCCCCTACTATGGGCCAGGACCGTGCCGTGGACTGGATGTGCAGAGTGACACAATGGAAGCAAGGCCCCTGCCGCTGTGGGGCCAACAGTCCAGCACAGGAGGTGGCGAAATCCATGAGGAGCAGACACGCGATCTTGAATCGCAAATATAAGACCTGCTCTGAAGGGAGTTTGCCTTACTGGGAGAGACTGGTGTGGACTGGAGGCTCAGGGGAAGGCCTCTCAGGGAAGATGACACTTAAGCCAATATCTGCAGGGTGAGCAGGAAGTCTTCACGCCAAGAGTGAGAGGAAGAACACCCCAGGCAGAGGGACCGACTGGCCACTTCCAGTCTAATGATACTCAAGGTGATGTTGGGTTTTCCAGGGCTGGTCAGAATCAGCACTGGGGGAGTCCACTTTTGGCAGCAAAATTGTTTAAGTGAGGCCCCGTGTCATGCTCACTGTGGTCTCCTCTGCCCTTCAAAAAACAATGTTTATCACCTTTCCCACCCTGACCTAGGGAAAAAGGGTCTGGCCAAGCAAGCATTCAAGAGACAGGGAGGTAGAGTCAACACTTTCTCCTTTGGAGGTGGGAATAATCTTACCAAAGAACAGAAGGAAAATTCATTAAAGTATTTCCTTCATTCATGTACTTATTGAGCACCTACTATGTGCCAGGCATTATTCTAGTGCAGGGCATATAGCTGTGAATAGGACGAAGTCTGTACCTTCCAAAGTTTACATTCCGGCAAGAGACCAACAATTAACAAGCAAGTGAATAAAAATATCATTTCAGGAGTGAGATGATAATTGCTATGAAGAAAATAAGGCCAGGACAGAATGGTCTAGAGTGTGGTTGGTGGTTAGGTAGGGTCTCTTTGAGAGAATGATATTTGAGCTGAATAAAGTGAGGGAGGAAGACTGAGAGGATGTGGGGTAAAGAATTCCATACAGAGGGAACAGCAAGTGGAAAGGCCCTGGGGCTTGTGACCAGTTTAAGTGGCTCAAGGAGAAGCAAGGAAGCTAGCATAGCAGCAGTAATACGAGGAAGCAGAATGGTGGTAGGAGAAGAGGTCAGACAAGTACTGAGAGCCAGGTCACATAGGGCTGTCAGGTTCCTCAGGGGCATCTGGGGCCCTAGGACTGCCATAGATGTCCTAGGATTCAAGCCAAGTGTCTGCTTTCAGGCACAGACCAGATAAGATATCTGCTCTGTAGTCTGTGATTCCACATCCCACCACCCCTCCTCCTCCTTTTGTTGAAGTCTCTCCTTCTGGAACATTCCATAAGTCCAGTTGGGTGACGATGATGGCTGCAGAGGTGGAGGGCTGTAGCCAGCAATCTTGTTGCCTTTGGAGAGAGGGCTGCAGCTGGAGGCCTAAGATCCTCCCATCTTAGGCATGGCTCTTCTATCTCCAGTCAATATACTGGCTGCTTTCTCCACTGCTTGCTCCGGATACCCTTCTCTGCCTGGCTTGATCAAAACGCCCCATACCTCACACTGGGCCCACTGGGAGCTCCAGGCTCTCTGCTGTTCCCTGGCCAGCCTTGTTCTAAGCCATCTTCTTGCACCTCTGCGAACACCCAACCCTTCTTCCTACCCTTCACGCTTCAAGTCTGGGCTTCCATTTTGTACCCCCTCTCAGCTCAGCTGGCTCTTAGCTCTGGCCCCATCAGCTGGTAACCTGCCCAACTGATGGCTAACTAGTTGATCCCCTGTTGTAGATGATGGTTTTGGGAGTTTGCCCAGTGTTGACACACACCGCTATGGCCAGGCCCTCTGTGAGGTGATGGGGATGAAAAGATGTCTGCCCTCAGGGAGCTTGCAGATGGCAGGGGCGACAGCTGTAAAGACTTGGCTGGAAGAGTACATGGCCCTCCAGCTACACCCCCACCCCCACAGCCATCTTCTTTTGACTTGTGGTCTCTAGTTTTTTAAATTATATTTGGAAAAATTTGAAATCCACAGAAAAGTTGTAAGAATCGTTCAATAAACACCTCTCTTTGCTTCACCTGGAGCAGTGGTTCTCAGCTGGGGTGATTTTGACCCCCCAGAGGACAGGTCTGGAGGCAAGGTCTAGAGATAGTTTGGTGGTTAACAACCAAGAGGTGCTCCTGGCATCTAATGCATAGAGGCCAGGGATGCTGTTAAACAGGCTATAATATGTGCCATGTGGTAACTGTCCCTCACAACAAAGAATTTTCTAGTTCTCATCACAAGCAAAAAAAAAAAGTGTAGTGATGGATATTAACTAGACTTATTGTGGTAATCATTTCTCAATATACAC